CAAAGGAACTCAGCTCAACTCTTCCAGTAGAAGTAGAACTGCTAATGTTAAATGAAGAAACCTCAACAGAGTTGTTGAAGATAGGCTGTCAAAAAGAGATACTTGTGCCAGGCACAGTGGCTTGTGCCTATAATCCCAGCTACTCAGGAGGATGGCTTGAGCCCGGGGGTTCGAGGCCAACCTGGACAAGCATATTGAGACCCCTCATCTCGGAGAAAAAACAAAAGGAAAGGTTTAAGGATGATAACCTACAAAGAAATCAAATGCAATTTATTTATTTCTTAAATGTATAAGAAATACACCTATTGACTGGGTCTCTGGATACAGACATGATAATTTTATACTTTGTTTCTCATGCAAAGATTCAGAAGTGACTACATCCAAAAAGAAAGCTTGGAAAGAATGTCACATGAGAAAAGTTTCTAAATGTAGACACTCTCACAGTATCATGCATTTATAATTCCAAAGTTCAACCAAATATAAATTTCAAGCATGCAGAAGACAATGGCAGTTGGGTAATGAAATGAATGGGATATTCCACCTTAAATCATAAATTCAATGTGCTTCATGAAAAAACACAATCAAACTCGAAGAATGGGGATACTAAACTTCGACAAGCATCAGATTGAAATTACAGGCCTAGTTAAAAGTAAGGTCATTCTAAGTATTGGGTGTTTTCACTCTATAAACTTAAATAGAAACCAATGAAATCATTTTGTGAATTACAGTACTTTAAGAGCAAAGAAGTATCCTTCCACAAATTGCCTAATCACGCCACTGATTCAGTTTCATGTAAACATGGGTTTTTATATTTATTTGTTCAACTAGGTAAGCCACACAGGATGTTATTAGAATATTGACTAGAGTATTTTAAAAGAGTATTTTAGTAACTTTTGGTATCTTACATTTTTACAGGCATTCAAATTAGGTTAACAGTAGAGAATAGGAGAGGTTCTACTTTAACAAATGGAGAATAATTATTTTTGTGTTTATAACTTAAATTAACAACTGTTTATTCTCTTGAGTGGCTCAACCACAAATTCCTCCATCCTTTGCCAATTTCTAATTTTAAATTTCTTTATTTAGAAAATCCTTGAAAATCAAACTTCGCTCTTACCTATCCCGGGAACTTCCTCCCCTAAAGGTGATTCGTGTGAATAAACTAGAAAATAGGTAACCCTTCTTCCAGACACTTGACTACTACATGTTGGGAAAATGTAATAAGATTTCCACTCACCATTGGCTACGAAGTGAGTGAACCTTCTAGAGTTAGGTGTGCCAAAATGTGCACAAGCAGCAGTGGCTGCCTTCATTTGCTGTCTTCCACACCTGGAGGTGTGGTCCTTCATGCGTGGAAGACATTTGTGCTCACACAAAACACCTGGTTGCCACCTTTCAGCACTGAGACTGGCTCTCGACTCTGTTACCCAAATCTATCAACTGCCATTCAAATTTACCGAGGTCCAGGCCAGGCATCATGATGTTAAGATCATGTTGACCAGAACACATGGAGAAGGCTGCTTGGCGATTGTGTTGCAATGAGAAAGCACACCTCCCCCAAAGTAGACAAATTAGGCCACGAGGCAGATCCTGATGACTGCTACCTCATTAAGACTTTTAATGTAAAACCTTCCATGTTTAACTGAAGAAAAGAATTGTAAACACTACGTAGGTTCAACAAATCATGTTTGCAAGGAACATCTAGTCTAGGCCACTGTATGGTTCCTCGATCAGCCACGTGTCTATTACATTGGTGCTTGTTTTGGTGTATTTTGGGGCAACATTGTGAATTTTATCACATCTAATCACAGTAGAGGCAGAAAGAGAACCAAATTTACCTAAAATAACAGGCACATGTTGAGGAAGAAAAAAAAAGCAGAGATAGTGAAAAATTGAAACTGTTAAGAAAATTATTCCAGTGTATGGAATAAATCAGTATCCAGATGACCACAGAACTTGGCCTTGCCTAGACCTGCACTTATGGGTCATTCACATAATGTCACTCTGGATAATGAAGAAGTGGGTTTATGAGCACCAGGTGAGAGTGCAGCCTCTTACAAGAAGCTGAGTCATCTGCCAACAGAATGGTGCCCACAACATGAAAAGAGGACATGTGCACCGATGCCATTGGAGTCCCCATCCCATAGACACAGATGGATAGATCTAGAAACTTATTACTTGGCATTTACCAGGTGCCCACTCTGTTCACCTCTTCTTAGGCATTATCACCATGACTGACAGTGCAGTCCCAGTGGACAGGCGATTATGTTTATTGTGTTTCACTAGCAACTAGTAACCATTCCTGGCATCGAATCAACGCTGAATAGATGATAAATACTTCTTTAATACCAAAATGCAAGATGCCAAGTTTAAATTTGGAAATACATATCGAGATTTCTCTGGCTATTTTGGGGAAAAATACCAAACTGTCAAATTCATCAGTCTTATAGAAAGACTCAAAATATGAAAATCTCAAAATATGAGATCTAACAAAACTATCACATTCAAATAGCAATACTACTTGTTTCTTTGCACTGTATGACACCGTGGGAACTCAAGTGTATAAACACAACATGTGTGGACTTATAACAAACACAAAGGAAGCAGCTCAATACAGCTGCTATCTAAATAAAATTCTGTTCTATTTTTAGTACCTGCCCTCTACCCTGTGTCTACTGGATAGCAAGCCAAAATTTTAGAAAAGGACCTACCAAATGAAATTCCCATTAAATTTCTTTATATGTGAGCTAGAAGCCGTGTCCTAGAAATACTTTAAGAATTCAAAACCGAGATTTCCCAGCGAGGTATTTTGCTAGTTTGCACACACCAATGTGTCTTGCCTGCTTTAGACTCTAATTGGTCTTACATTTAAAAAAGAGTTTACAGAGCTGGAAAAATAGGAAGCGTCTAGGTAGAGCATGTTGTGAACTGGTCATTCTAGTACTCATAAAACATGCTTAAAATTTTATTTTTCTCAAAGAAAGATGCCCTGTAGAGGAGACCTGGTTGGCCTGGTCATAGGTGAGCATGACAAAGAGGTGAGGCTAGATTTGATGTCAGGGCTGCAGGAGCAGCTACAAGAAAAGCAGCACAAGCCCAGGGAACAATGACAGAAACAAGGGGTTAGCCATGTAGGTGGGAATCATGTAAGAGTAGTTTCTGTGACCCCATTGTTGCCAAAGACAAACCAATAATGGTTAAGAAGTAGAGGTGGCCAGACAGAAGCCGAGTCATCTGCCAACAGAATGGTGCCCACAACATGAAAAGAGGACACGTGCACCGATGCCATTGGAGTCCCCATCCCACAGACACAGATGGATGGATCTAGAAACTTATTACTTGGCATTTACCAGGTGCCCACCAAGTGCCAGGAACCATACAGGGGACTTGATGTAATCACCACAACAGTCTGCATGATATATTAGTTGTTATTTCCGATTCACAGATAAGGATCCTGAAGTTGGAAAGTTTAAATAACTACATCATTATTATTCAGCTGTTGAACAGAAGAGGTGGGATTCAAAAGCAAATATATAAAACACTATGCTCTAGTGAGGTTCATGAAAAGTAGTAAGAGAAAAAAAGTGTGTTGGTGACCCACAGTAATACACATTATTTCATGACCCAGTATACATCCAGTATGCATTACTGTGTATAAACAACTACAAAAAGTTCTATAAACATATTTTACCGTTACTGTGCGTGATACACTGATATTTTCTGATTTTTTTTCCTGTTCTACATTCTTCTATTTCATTATTTTAAAAATGATGGTCAGAACTCACTGAAATAATCTCATGGCCCAATAAGAAGTCAAAATCCACAGTTTGAAAACCAGTGCGATCAATGATCTGAGTTGATGACCAGCGTTCTTATGGTTTTATGACATTAGGTAGAATATTAAGCTTTTCAAATTTTCACACATAATCTCCCACTTGAGCCTTTATCCAAGGACAGAAAAGGGAGAAAGGGTAGTTAAGAGGGAGAGATAAACCTCAGGGAGAATTGTCAGAAATGTGTCCCCTGCTAAAAAGGGAGATGGAATTAAGATGCCCCAAACAAGAATGGCTCCATCCCAGTGACAAAGAAGCATGCTGAAAAAGGCGGATATTAAAGACCTACACTGGAGAAGGTTCTCATGTCTTTAATGTTATTCTGAGTGTCAGAAAGACACTTTTTTTTTTTTTTCAGCAGTGACTCACTAGTCAAAGGAATACCTGTATGCAGTCTTTGGGCAAATTTTAAGACTGAAAGAGAAATCACATGCCTACTATTCAGGTTACATTTGACACAAAAAGCACCACAGTCTCCTGCAGACGACTTGGTCAAGGCACTCCATGATCAATGCTACTATCATCTGATTTGATGCATTAAAAAGCGTGGACAGTATTATTATCTGTGGAAGGATGCAAGGTTTGCCTTCTATGTACAGAATTAACACTGAACTATGAACATTCATCAACATAATCACATTAAAAGACAGAAAGAAAGGATGGGAATTCATAAATGTACTAACTTGGAAATAGTCTCAACAGAAACTTTAGTTACCATGGGGATCTCTGGGAAGAAAGAAAAGGGGTCTCTTTACAAAAGTGACTGATTCTATTTATTAATCTACTTGCAAGTAATGTCAAATTTTAAAGTTGCACCAAAGAAAACCACCTTTTTTTCTTAAACATCAGACTCTTAATATGCTGAAGGAACCTGTTCAAAACGCTTCAGCAGTGAAGTAACTTAGATGATAAATGTGTTCTTCAATCTGTGCACCAGTCAAGTAGCCATAAAATCAGAATAATTCATGCAAAATTTTTCATTATGTTTCTAAACATACTTATTTACATTTTAAATCACACTTTAGACAATATGAAATATCTTTCATTTAGACAGGTGTGAACTAGAAAAACAGATGCATTCATTAAACATGGAACAATTCGGCGAATTAAAATAAAAAATACTCAAAGAACTCTCCAGTTGAAGTACTTCAGCCACTGTTAACTTACTTGAAAAAATATGGCCATGGCTCCGATTATTCTGTTCTCAGAAATTGCAGTTTGAAAGCTGTCAAAGTCATCTGGATTGTAAAAGAAAATCTGCATCTGTAAAAGAACAATTTAAAAAAATGTGTTGGGAAAATTTTCAGACATACACAAAAGTTGAAAGAATAGTATAAATGTAGTACAACGGACCCAAATTCCCACTTACTAAGATTTTGCCAAATTTATTCATCTACCCGTATTTTTTCTTTGCTCCACATATTTAAGAGCAAACCCAGAAATCATGTACTTTTATCCCTACATACTTCAGAATGTATCACATCTTCTTGCATAACTATAGTGCATTTGTGCCATCCAAAATATATAACACCAATGCCTTCTTATGGCCCAATACCCAGGTCATGGTGAAATTTCCCTTTTAAAAAGCTCAAGTTTAATGGAGTTAAACACTGTGAAGGAGAAAACTAAGCCCGTGAGATTCAGTCTAAACATTAAAATCACAAACACTTAAATGGCCACATTTTTATAAACAACTCCATTTTATAAACAACTCCATTTTTATAAACAACTCCATTTTATAAACAACTCCTGATGAGAATTCAAAGGGGTATCTCAGTAGCTTTGAGAAATAGCCCAAATGGCATATTTCAGTGAATTCATAAAGACATAGAATAGAAGTGATAACAATAATGCTTTACATTTTATAGTTTGCAAAAGGCCAACTCACATATTATTTTGCTCAATTTGTTCAACATCTCCTATAAAGGTAAGGGAGAAATTACCAAACTTAGTTATAGAGAAGGAAAAAGTACTTCAGAAATTTGACATTGATTTGCCCAAGATTAAACACTGAGGTCTAAAATCCAGGTGTCTCATCCTAACTTTAAATATCTCCTTTTATGTTTGGCTAGAGCAGTTTTTATTACTAAAGAAGAACACAGATAAATCAACTTAAAATCATTATACAAATTTAATGCTTGACCACGCCTTGAGATATATATATTTGGAAACAGTGTCTTGCTCTGTTACCTGGGGCAGAGTGCAGTGGCATCATTATAGCTCACTGCAGCCTTGAACTCCTGGGCTCAAGGGATCCTCCTACCTCAGCCTCCCAAGTAGCTGGGACTATAGGCGTGCACCACCATGCCTGGCTAATTTTTTCTATTTTTAGTAGAGACTCACTATGTTGTCTAGGCTGGTCTTGAACTCCGGGTCTTAAGCGATCCTCCTGCCTTAGGCTTCCAAAGTGCTGGGATTATAGATGTGAGCCACCTTGCCTGGCCCACATCTTGATTATTTTAAAAAATTCAAAAAACAAAAACGGACCACAGACTAACCCCAAGAGACTCCACATGTGATAAAAAGAACAGATCTGGGTTCTTATTCCAGCTTCCCCATTTACTTGCCTGTGAGACCTGAGGCAAGGTTATTTTCTGAGCATTAGCTTTCTTGTGCACAAAGTATTTCCCCTCTACGATGTAGTCATGGGGCTCACACAAGTCAATATAGTACATGGCATGTAGGTAGACTTCATGCTTAGACCTCATCAGTGCTTAGCAAACCACCACCACCACCACCACCACCACAATCATCATCATCAGAGCTTATGGGTAACATTTTGGCAGACATCTTAAAATCTCTGGGCCAGGCGAGGTGGCTCATGCCTGTCATCCTAGCACCCCTGGGAGGCCGAGGCAGGAGGATTGCTCAAGGTCAGGAGTTCGAAACCAGCCTGAGCAAGAGTGAGACTCCATCTCTACTAAAAACAGAAAGAAATTAATTGGACAACTAAAAATATATAGAAAAAATTAGCCGGGCATGTAGTCCCAGCTACTCAGGAGGCTGAGGCAGGAGGATTGCTTGAGCCCAGGAGTTGGAGGTTGCTGTGAGCGAGGCTGATGCCATGGCACTCTAGCCCGGGCAACAGAGGGAGACTCTGTCTCAAACAAACAAACAAACAAACAAACAAAAAACAACAAAAGAATTTCTAGTAAGAGTAGATTTCTCTGAGTCTTTCAGCATGACTCTACTTCTTACAGACAATTGAATCTCCCATATCATTTGCTCTCTTTCATGATTTCTCTTTCTCCACTTTGCCAAATGGGATGATGTCATTTTTCTGTAGCAGACTAACCAACCACCTCCCAGGTGGAGTTTAGAGATTTGACATTGAACAATGAACTCCTGGCGAGCAAAGCGAAGTCAGAGTGAGAAGCGGAAGTAAAGGTCAAAGGTAAACGGAGTTCTGATGACTGAATTAACCAAGAGGCTAAGAACATGATCATATGTCTTTTCTGAAGGTTGAAATCAGGTAGCTCAAATCAGGACACTTTCTAGGAAAACTCAGGTACCTAAGTGGATGGGAGAAGGATGGAATGATTCTTTTGGAGGATTTTCTTTCTTAAAGAGAATTCTTTTCCTTAAGACTCTGAATTCACACTGATTCTGGCAGTTTCTTACAAATGCTTTGCCTTAAGGTTTGGACAGCTTTAGATATCATGAATTTACACTAAGAAAAAAATCCGTTCAATGGGGTGTGGATTAAAACAGTTTAATACTGGGTGAATTGCTTTGGGTGCAATGCTGCTAACCCAAGAAAGGAACACTATACAAGTATATTCAGAAAATTACTTTCCTTCTAAAACTCAGGCCTTCAAATTAAGTAAGTTCACAGAATGCTTTCCTATACCCCACCCCACAAGCAGGGGCGGCATTGTTTAATGCATCACCCGAATAGTGTGTAATACAAAATACTTTAAGACCTCTTCAAGGGCATTTTCATTTACAACTGGGGAAGGAAATGCATTTTTAGAAAATGTTTTTGAGTCTCAGCTCCACCCATCTGGATAATAAAATGTCTCATGAAGAGAACGGTAGCACAGGTCTGAAATATCAATTCTCCTTGTTATCGCTCTCAAGTTGTACTCTACTGAATTATGGTAATGTTTGAAGCTACCTAAAATACGAGTAAATAAGTAGATGGGGTTTTACTGAGTGAACTGGACTTTAACATTTTTTGTTAATTGTTGATGGGCCAGGTTTGGACAGAGGGTGGAAACCTATTTTCCAAAAACATCTTTGGCAACTTTGTGAATTTACCCTCAAAAGCCATACCTAGAGTCCTCCCCAAAGAGTGTTCATTTAATAACGTGCATCTAAGTGATGCTTACTGTATAGCAATCCCCCTGCCTAAGAGACATGGTGCAAGTAAGCTGAAGAAAAGATACGGAAAATCTGGCAATAAAGAGATCTATGAACTCTTTCCATATATCCTTTACCCAGTACCACCAATTATTTACATTTTATCCCATTTGCTCTCTCTCTCTGTGCACACACAAAAAAACTTCTTTTTCTTTCTAAATCATTTGGGAGTCAGTGGGAAATAATATGCCCCTTTACCACTAAATACTTAAGGTGTGTAATTTCTAAGAATAAGGACATTCTCTCACGTAACCACAGGATAATTATTAAAATTAGCAAACTTCACATTAATACTAGTATTTATTTCACAGTCCATTTTCAAATTTTGGTAAGAGTCCAAATAAAGTCCATGACAGATCATTTTTTGGTTCTTGTTCTGGGATCCAATCTAGGGTCAAACTTTGCATTTAGTTGTCACGTCTCTTTATGCCGACCCCTCTCACTCCCCACTTTCATCTAGAACAGTTCCTCAGCCTTTGCCTTTCTTTAGTCTGAGAATTTCAAGTATACAGGACAGTTATTACAGATAATTCAGGTCTGCCTCGTGGATTCTCATGATTAGACTCAGTAGATGCTGAGAAGGTGACAACAGGAGTAACATTGTATCTTAGGGCATCAGAAAGCACGTTACCTGGGAATGTGGGTTTATCCCAATATTAGGGGTGTTCGACTTGATCTGTTGGCTAAGGTGATTTCTGCCAGGCTCCACCACTATAAAGTTATTAATTTTCCTTTTGTAATTAAAAAGCACTCTGTAGGTAAATACTTTTGAGATTACATAAACATCCTGTTCCTCATCTTTTACTCCCTAGTTTTAATATCCATTGATGACTTTCTAACTCTATCATTCCTTTTATATTCATTGATGGCATTCTACTTTTTTCTTTTTTTACATCACCTTTTTGAAACCTAATTATTGTTGGCATTCTAGAGTAAGGAATAGCTTTCCCTTCCCCACAGTTTATTCATTTATTTATATCCACATGGACTGATTTGTGTTTCTTTTTTATTCAATCCATTATTATATTCCATTATTAACATCATTTTGATGCTCAAAGTGTCCTAGATTTGCCCAGTAGGAGACCCTTCAAAAGGATTCCTTGGTCACTCTGCCATTTCCCATCATTTCTTGTTTCACATCACCTCCTTCCTACCAGGCACGGATGTTTTGGGCTCATCTTGTATTTCCCTGCCCCAGCTCTAGAACGGCCCATTTCTTGAGTGAACTATGGTTCCTTTTAGTGGAAAATGTCATTCAAAGACTTAATAACTTGAACTCAATATTTTCCAAATATATTTGAGAATAGAACACTTTGGTATTTCAGGAAAACTATACAGCTTAAGGGTCGGTGATTCCATTTCAACCAGAATCCACTTTTGCAAAGGAAGGAAAGCTGGATAAACGTTACATAAATGGATGTTCCTCCATCATACAGAGTCCCATGAGAGAGATACGTCTCCTCAAGAAACGAACTATATAACACTCAACTAAAAACTCATTGATAGACTATGCAGACCAGGGCACAATCACGGGACCAGGTCTGCCAAATTTTTCAAAGTCATGAGTGAGAATCATTGGTCCAAATGGATCATTCAACTCTACCTTGGGGAATGGCTTGACTAGAAAACCCTTCAGACAATTCTCTAGCCAGATCAAGATGATGGATAACCTAGCATAATTTGACATTTGGAAAATAGAATTTTACAGGGAAAAACCAAATCACATTAAAAGCATCACCATCGAACAGGAAGGATCTCCTAAAATACAGATATGGCAAATGCCTGCATGAATATGGCAACACTACTGAGCAATGGTGGTGGAGCGGGCACTGTGAGTATAGGACTGATAGCAGTTGCAGGGTACTAGCATGATATACACAGAGTCACAGCAAAATGTCCAC